CAAGCTGTTGACAAATTATGTACATGCAGGAATCGTTTTGCAGACCCCTGAAATGCAGCCACCTCTGGGTAGAACACATCAGCTGTTCAACAGCGCCCAGCAACGCTACACAGCAATTTAGGGCAAGCAGTGCAGAATGCTGTATCAAATTGAAATGGTGGGAGGAATTCAGTGTCAGCCACTGTAATTAATATTCCACTTTGGATTGGACCAAAACATTACTGTTTCATAGGGTTTCTGGTTTATGAGATGGTGAAAACTGATACATTTATGGATTGCACATCCCTTTTCATTCCTGCATTTGCAAAAATGTTCAAATCTTTTTTGGAAGGAAAGTGAGTTATGCGTGGGACATCTTTCTACGTGAAATGATGGATATAAACAGAAGCAATGAAACTAATGCGCAGAGTACATCCAAGAGCCATAAATAGCGCCAGGCAAAGTAATGCACAGGATATATGTAATGATGGAGATAAACTGAACCAGCGAAGGTAATGTGTGGAGTATATTCAGCGATAGCCATAAATAGCATTAGTGAAGGCAATGCGGAGTGTATATGTAACAATGGATATAAACAGAGCCAGGGGTAGCTGTACATATAATGTACAATATTAATGCGATTTGATCCTTCATAATAGCTTGAGCAACATAAAACATAAGTGCACTAGAAGCAATGTGACATGCAGCTTTAGCATGCCGCTGACAAGGGGATGGGATTGTTTATGGTTTGAAGGTATAAGCTGCCATTCAAAGCCATAACTCCCCCGGAATAACTTTATATAATGCTCAGTGTCTTCCCATACCAAGATTTTCACTAGCTCATCTCCCTTCATTCATTTCACTTTCAAATTGCCTCTTCCGTTCCGGAGCAGAGAGGGCTGGGCATGAGCAGGGAAGCATCCTGAGTGATTGCCTGTCTTTCACTTCAGGCCTCCGAGGAAGTGAGCTGGATCTCACAAAAGCTGAATCCCTAATACATTTGTGAATCTCTAAGGTGCCACCAAGACTCCTGGTTGTTTTAGTCCAGCCACGAGCCCTTGCAGGGGATAGTGGATTTGCAGTGTGTCTCTTGCTAGCTGCCATGTGAAGGCTGGGTGGGATGAGTTAATGCATTCTTTTTTTCAGAAGAAAATCAAGGTTCACCATTCCCCAAATCCCAGCATGATCTGGCCCCTTGCCGTGGGGTACAAACAAGGAACAGCTCTCTGGAGTGTAAATCAGTGATCAACTCATCTGTGTCAGGACATAAGAATAGGGCCATTTAAATGACTGATGAGGAAGCTGGGGTTTGCCTCAGGGAAATAACTGGGGGAAGAGGTGAGGACAGCATGGGAGGGTGCACACATGCATTCAGGGTTGGATCACCTGCATCACTTCCCTGAAACCACTAGAGAGCAGATCCTAGGGACAAAGTATGTAGCACCCGCAAAGGCCATACCTGGAAAGCTCTGACCCACCCTGTTAAAGGATCCTTCGTGGTTCTGATTAGAAATGTAAGAGGTTAATCTTGCCAGTTAAACTCCCCACTGTGCGGAGCCGGCAGCCTGGGAAGCAGCGTGGCTGCTGACCCGCAAAGCGTTTAACCAAGTAACCGACTGAATTTCAATTGGTTACACGGTTAGTGTTTTTAAAATGTGTAAATCAGTAGTCCCGGTGTTGTGTTGTCATGGTGATAATGTTTCAGTACGTAGCCAGTGCTGGCATTGCACCCCCAGCCAAAGCTAGGTCAGATCTGACTCCAGAAGGATGGCCAGGACTGTAGGCAGGGCCGACTTCTCCATTAGGCACAGTGCCTAAGGCCCATGATACTTTTAGGGGCTCATGAAAATGTTTTAATTTCTTTTAAAATCAGAAGGAAAAAAATGAACTTTTAGGGTTGAATAAAATGTTTTAATTTTTTTCTCATACCAGAAAAAAATGAAACTTTTAGGGCCCACGAAAATCTATTAAATTTTGCCTAAAACAGAAAAAAAAAATGTTGAAGTATTTAAAGTTATATCAAAAATAATTTTTAATATTTTTTTATGGAGGAAGGGGCCCACGAAGGCAAAAGTGTCTAGGGCCCACGAAAGTCATAGTGCGGTCCTGACTGTAGGTAAAACCACTTCAGGTTATCACACAAATCTCTTCCTATGGATTTGTCCCATTTTGCTCCTCACAGGTGCAGAAATCAAGTAGCATTTCTGTCTCTCATCAGAGACTTTTCCCAGGCTCCGTCCCACACTGGACAGGAAATCCACCAGAAATTCTTCTCTTGGGGACCTGTTTTGCTTTGATGCAGAAATCCGACTAGTTTTTCTCATCCTTTCTCCAGATGAATGAAGCCAAGTAAGGGACCAGGTATAAGATTAGGACAGATTTTGTTAGCAAAGAGACCTCAGCAATGGTGCTCACAGGACATTCCTGGATCCCATTCCTGTATAAAGTAGATTTTGTTTCCTTTGCTAGTGCAGTTCTGCTGCCAGTCTGGGGATGGAAATTCTGAGCCCCTCTATTGCAGGGACTGGTCCTTGTATGTACATAGTGTGTTGTTTTCCAGGCCTCTGTGATCTGATGTAATTCAAAGCAACAGGAAAAAGGAGATTAAGTGTTTTTACTTTGGATTCCAGAGGCAGCCATGGATGCTGGGAGCCATATTGTGCTATTTTCCCCCCACTGGTCTAAAGATGGTGACCAAAACAAAAAAAAAGCTACTGGGGCTGGCTCAGAGGCAAGAAACTTCAAAGCAGTGTTATAGATTCTGAAATCCCAGGCTTGGTTTTTAAATGCTGAATGATAGTTTGGAAGTGCCCAGTGATCTGAGAAGATGTTGCAATCCTGGGTAAATTGCCTTTTTACTGATGGGAAGCTAAGGCACAGGAGAGGTTAAGTAACTTGTCCAAGAACACAGAGAAGAGCCAGGAGTGGAATCCAGCCGCTCTGGCTCCGAGACCCCTCTTGTAGCTACTACACATTGTGCCTGATGGAAGTGGTTCAGTGGAGTAGAGTTGGTGCCAGTCAAAAGGAACATCCCAAGGGCCATGCAATTCCGTTCCCTACTGAGAAGGGTTTGAGGCTGGAAAAACAAAGACTGTTGGATGAATAGTGATGGGAAATTTACAAAGAGCCTCCCCCCCCCCCAATCTGGACCTCTAAATAAGTTGGTCTGGCCAGCTGGATGGGTTTCCCTGGGTCTCTAGTCTGCTATGAATGCTTCATTCAGGCACCTCTGTATTCAAAAGGCAGGTTTTGTATTCAGGATCCATCTACAGGGGGCCTCATTTCAAGAGCTTGTGTGCGTGTGTGCAGCATTCCTCGTTTGATCAGATCAAAAGCGGGGGCTCAAGTTTGCCCAGGACTGGCTTTGGACAAGTAAACAAGGGCATCCACACCATGGCTTCCCTTTTTCCTCAGGCCCCTCGGTGCCAAGCAGATAACCGGGATAGGAAGGGGGAAGGTCACTGAGCTCCTACCAAAAGCCCATGGCAGCCCATGGCAGATCATGCTTCCTGCTTCCGTGGCACCTCATTAGGGCACTGCTGGCCGAGGTGCAGGCCCCCCCTTTCTGCATGTACCTCACCCCCCAACTCGGACTTCACCTGGAGAAGCTGTCCTGAGCAGACTGCACAGCAAGCTTGTTAGCGAATTCGGGCTCTCAGTCCAGCGTGGGGCAGTTGGGACAGACACACTTTTCAGCCAGTTAACACCTCAGTAATAGATGCTCTTTCAGCATGGGTGGTTTTGTCAGATCACTTTGCTGTGAGAAATTATATTAAAGCTTCCAGGCTTTGTCATTGTGCGCAGTCGTACTGCATAACCGCTTCACTGTGGCATTCCCCATCCCCAGCCGCACCGCCTGCAGCCCAGTTTGAGCAGCACCATGGCCCACTGGGGAGAGCACTGAGCAGGAGACCTGGTTAGAGTCCTGACTCCATCACTGACTGGCAGTGTGACCTTGGTCAAGTCACTTCCCCTCTGTTTCCCCTCCAGCCCTTTGTGTGTCTGCTCTAGACGTTGGGTTCTTTGGGACAGCCATGGGCTCTTACTGCAAGCACCCCGCCCAGGACAGCCCTGGACCATTACCCATTGCCCTCTCCATAACAGGTATCCCCTGCGCTCATCAGGCCAGGTTAGTCACGAGCAGCTGGCTAATTATTGCTTATCAGCCCAACCTATTGCCAGGCCGGGGGGCAGAAATGTTAACCTCCTTTGCCAGTCAATGTGGGTGCCAAAAGATCAGTGTGAAGTAGAGTTCCCTGCCCAGAGACCCTGTGAATTCAGAGTCATGGAGCAGAAATTCAAACCCACTCAAGCAGCTGAACCACATTTAAATTTGCCTAGTTGGCCGTTTCTGTGGCTGCAATTTGGAAATCTGTCCAGAGGGAAGGGACTCCTAGGGACAGTCCCAGCCCCATGGGACGGAGGGGGGTAATGGGAAGACATAAGGAAAAATCCAGGCTGCGGGGCAGGAGCTGCCTCTGGAGGAGGACAGGAGCATAGGGGCCTTTGCCCCACAATTAGAGGTAAACGCACAGTGAGGTGCCAGCCTGAAGGCAGAACGTGCCAGTCCTGATGGCCACTTTCCCCCCTTGGACACTGCTGCTGCGGCGAGTTCTAAGACTGAGCTAGGAGGGCAGGAAAAGTGATGGGCAGGGAGAAACCCAAAGATGACCAGTCACTGGACAGCTGTCTGGCTGGATAGTACGGGGACTGGTACTAGTGAAGTGCTGCTCACCTGCAGCTCATCAGGTGTGCGTGTTCTACTCCCTTCGGTGCTGTGCAGACAGGTGTGCCTGGCTGGAGGTGTGGCACTGAGAATGATAGCATCGCCATGGCCCTGTGTACGCAGAGTATCCAGCCTGGACCAAGCAGGTATTTCCCCTGTAGTTAATACCTGCACTGGCAGGCCAATGAACCTGGAAGCTGACTTGAACTGAAGGGACTTTTGCCTTTCTGCTGGGCTTTATTTGCTAACCATGGCTCTTCTTCCCTCCCCCTCTTTGTTTTTGTGTTGCTTGCAGGTGAGAGAGAGGATGAAAGCTGGGGAGGTGAGCATGCATAACCCAATCCTGGCCTGCTGGCAGCCGATCCTCCTCCTGATGCTGGGATCCATCCTCTCCGGCTCTGCCACGGGCTGCCCGCCCCGCTGTGAGTGCTCTGCCCAAGAGCGCTCGGTGCTGTGCCATCGGAAGCGATTCATCGCCGTCCCCGAGGGGATTCCCACGGAGACTCGGCTCCTGGACTTGAGTAAGAACCGAATCAAGACTCTCAACCAGGATGAGTTTGCCAACTACCCTCACCTGGAGGAGCTGGAGTTAAACGAGAACACTATCAGTGCCATTGAGCCTGGGGCTTTCAACAACCTCTATAACCTCAGGACTCTGGGACTCAGGAGTAACCGGCTCAAGCTGATCCCCTTGGGGGTGTTCACTGGACTCAGCAATCTTACCAAGCTAGACATTAGTGAGAACAAAATTGTGATCCTCCTAGACTACATGTTCCAGGACTTGTATAACCTGAAGTCTTTGGAGGTTGGGGACAATGACCTGGTCTACATCTCCCACCGGGCCTTTAGCGGCCTCAACAGCTTGGAGCAGCTGACGCTGGAAAAATGCAACTTGACCTCCATCCCTACGGAGGCGCTGTCTCACTTGCACGGCTTGATTGTGCTGAGGCTGCGCCACCTGAACATCAACGCCATCAGGGATTACTCCTTTAGGAGGCTCTACAGGCTTAAGGTCCTTGAGATCTCCCACTGGCCCTATCTGGATACCATGACGTCTAACTGCCTCTATGGACTGAACCTGACGTCCTTGTCCATCACCCACTGCAATCTGACTTCCATCCCCTATGTGTCTGTCAGGCACTTAGTTTATCTCAGGTTCCTGAACCTGTCCTACAACCCCATCCTCACTGTTGAGGGCTCCATGCTGCATGACTTGCTGCGGCTGCAGGAGATCCAGCTGGTGGGAGGGCAGCTCTCCATGGTGGAGCCCTATGCCTTCAGAGGTCTGAACTACTTGCGCATCCTGAACGTGTCTGGGAACCTGCTGACCACACTGGAGGAATCTGCCTTCCACTCAGTGGGGAACCTGGAGACGCTCATTTTGGATAACAACCCTTTGGCCTGTGACTGCCGGCTGCTTTGGATTTTCCGACGCCGCTGGAGGTTGAACTTCAACAAACAGCAGCCCACCTGTTCCACTCCCGAGTTTGTCCAGGGAAAGGAGTTCAAAGACTTCCCCGACGTGCTCCTGCCCAACTATTTCACCTGCCGCCGGGCGCGCATACGAGACCGCAAGCCACAGCAGATCTTCGTGGATGAGGGCCACACAGTGCATTTTGTGTGCCGGGCAGATGGGGATCCACCCCCAACGATCACATGGCTCTCTCCGAAGAAGCACCTCATCTCTACCAAAACCAATGGGCGACTCACGGTCTTTCCTGATGGCACTCTGGAGGTGCGCTATGCCCAGATCCAGGACAATGGCACTTACCTATGCATCGCCAGCAATGCGGGTGGCAATGACACCATGCTGGCCCACCTTCACGTGCGGAGCTACTCCCCAGACTGGCCCCACCAGCCTAACAAGACCTTTGCTTTCATCTCCAACCAGCCCAATGAGAGCGACGCCAACAGTACACGCGCCACCGTGCCTTTCCCCTTCGACATCAAGACTCTCATCATCGCCACCACGATGGGTTTTATCTCCTTCCTAGGTGTGGTGCTCTTCTGTCTGGTGCTTCTCTTCCTGTGGAGCCGGGGGAAAGGCAACACGAAGCACAACATTGAGATCGAGTATGTGCCGCGCAAGTCTGACGCTGGCATCAGCTCTGCCGATGCACCGCGCAAGTTCAACATGAAAATGATCTAACCAGAAGCAATTTGCAAATAATAAAGTTTTTTTAAAAACAAAACAGAACGTTGCTACAAACATGCCGACCTCTCTCCTAATCTGAACCGCCCGGTCCTCTTGTTCTATCCCCACCTCTCTGCACCACCACTCCTTCCTCCTCTTTATACCAGGAAAACATTCTGCTGATGTCTCCAGGACTCCGGTGTTTGTAAGGACATGGTCTGACATCGGTGTCAGATCTAATGACAAGAGGGGGAAAAGAAAAAAAGAAAACAAATCAATAAAAAGTTATTAACTTCCCTTGTAACTGATTTCAATAATTATGGATTTTTATGAAAAATTGAAATAAAAAAACCCGCCCTATTTCCTAGAGATAGTTGGAATGCAAAATCTTGACTTCTTGATCTGTCCAGTTCTGTATCTGATTGAGTTTTATTTTTCTTCCTCTTCTCTAACTCTCTAGTGGTGGCGGATGCTGGGGCTTCCATCCAAATGACTCCTAGTGTGAGCCAGAGCTCCCTGTTGCACTAGGGAAAGGCTCTTGCCTCAGCAGAGGAGAAAGTACAAGTTCTGCTGTGACTTGCAGCCCCGGGCACACCTCTGAAGGGAAGCGGGTTGCTGGGAGATCAGTCCAGGTAGAATTCGGCCCGACGTGTTGGTGGTCCTTTTTAGATCAAAACTATCAAATTATCAGCAATTGGGCCACCGCCTTTCCCTGTGCACTGCTTGAGGGTCAAAGTGTTCTACGCCTTTTTTTCCTCGGTCCTTATCAGAATCTGGAGGTCAGCTGTGCTGTCTCTATGTACCAGTAAATGGCTTCCTCTTGTCAGCTGAATCTCCAGCCTTTGGTTTGAACTATCAAGGTTCAGTTCCACTGCTCTGAAATGTCCCAACCAGGCCTTTCCCAGGAGTGTTTCCGGGCATGCTAGCCTGGGTTTCCAGGGTTTTCCGGGGTTAACAGGTAGAAGGGGGCCTGTTATTTAATTCATCCATGGGTGTTCTGTGGGGAGAGGGCTCTTTTCAACAGCTATGAATAATGGTGTTAGAGATGCTGCCTGGTGTTGCTCTCCTACTGGCCTTCTCCTCCCCTAACTCCCCTGCCTTCTACAGAATGGCTCTTGATTTGCATGGCTGTACATGGGAAGTCAGGCGAAGAGAGCAGTCTGCGGCTACTAGCCTCTGCTGCTGTCAGTGCATAGCCTCTCTCCAGCGGGGGCTGTGGCAAACAGACTGAGAAAGGGGTGTTGGGCTTTCTAGAGTCAGCCTGCCTTGGCACAGCCACCCAACCTTTCATTGACTTCAGTGGTGCAACCAGGGTGCTGCTGAGGGCAGAAGTCAGTGCTGGAGCTGGGGTGGAAAGGCTGTGCCTTCTAACCTAGCATCTGTGGCCCCTAGGCTGCCTCTGTGCACCAAAAGGAATCTGTTAACTACCACATCCACCTATGCCCACCCCGAAGGTCCCCGGAGCCTCTTGGCTCAATGCTGTGAAATCTTTCTCTCTGACATCTCTCAAGTGCTCTCAGGCCTTCTCCTGGGACTTGAGCTTCCCAGCACGCAGGAGATCTTGGCTGGAAGATTCAAATGCTGGAGACACGGGAGGGGCATGTGAGCAGGGTAGTTTGGAAGTGAGGAGCAGCAGCTGGGGTAGAGAGTGGGGCAAGCTGTTTTCTAGCTATTTAACCTATGTGATTATCTCTCTGAGTCTATCGCCAGGAGCAGCTGAGCACCTCGTGTTTCTCCGGTAGGCTTGGCAGAAACCAATTTTTACCCTTGTATTATTTTGAAGGATCACATGGATGTGTTTTTAATCCTTTTTTAGATTATTGACTTTTAAAATTTTACAGAGGCACAAATATATGGGGTTCACCCATATTCTGCTGTTTTCAGTGATTTAGATTTTCAGTGGCAGTTGGACAATTGTCAGTCGATACTGATGTTCAAAAAGCTAAAGCCTTATAAGCATTAAAACTCAAATTATGACCCTCACGTGTCACAATATACTAAATAAATACCCTTAAATTAACAAATCCCACCTGTTTTTACCGTCTCTTCACTAGTCCATTTGTAACAAGCCTGATTCACAATCCTAGTCACGAAGTTCTCGATCTGCCTTTTTTTTACACTTTGCCTCGTTGTAAATTTAGATCATCATCATTAGAAATGTTTCCTTTTTTTGTATGTGTCCAGTGAAATCGATGTTTATTGACATTTACCGATAAAAAATGGAATCCTTCCAAGCCGGTTTATACACTAGAACTGTTCCCTGGAGATCGTGTTCACTCCACGGGGGTTTGAAAGAGTCTCGGTTTTGATCAGCTATAATTGGATTGCTTTAAAGAAGGGAAGCGTAAGGGTCGGTTTGTGCTACGGAAGGTGTGTTTGCCTTGCACCAGAGCCAGAGGCTTTTGCAGCCGTCTCCATTGCCCGTAAAGTCAAGTCCTGCCCCCTTTTCTGTGCACACTCAGTTTCCAGTCAGAGCACGCCACCGAGACTGGGTCCAGGATATCAGCAACTTTATTTTGGTGCCTCTCAAACAAGTGAAGTCCCAGAGCACACAGCAGAGTGAAATAGTGGGTTGAGACTATGGTGTGAATTACAGAAAGCAGGATGTAAAGACATTGTATGGTGAATAAATTAAAGCACAGAGTCAGAAGGGCAACCACAGAGGGAGAGAGAAACGAAGAGGCACAGAGGCGAGGGGGAAAGATATGATGTAAGATAAGCTTTGAAAACAGACAAAGCTTTATCAAACAAGCTCAGATTTTCCCCCATTCAATTTATTCCAATATATAGGCCTCTGGAGGCACATAATTAAATATGATTCTCATTTGTACATTTCAGAAGGGACTGGTTGCTTTGCTCGGCTCCCAAAGCGGGAGAAATTATTTATAGCATCCTGTCACTTTAAATGGGTCAGTATCCCCTCAGGAATGAGCCCTAGGTCAGCTATGGGACTGCAGACTGTGGCCGTGTCTGGCCCTTGGCTGAATGATTCCATGCAAAACAATTTGGAAGCTTTGAAGCTTGAGGCTTTGACTTTGCATTGGAAAGCCCCTTTCTTTACTACCAATTCATTAATTCACAGGGGAAGTGGCCAGCTCTTGGGCTATGCAGCCTTTTGGTCATGAAGTAACTGATTTGAATCCAGCTGGTGGCCAACAGCTATTCCAGGCTCATGTCCAATGGGTGACTAGGTGAAGTGGATCTGTCTCATTCCAGGGCTCGGCTGAACAGGGGTCTGCAACCCTGTGCCCCCCCCACCACCACCACTGGCATTAATTAGCATATTTACTGGTGGTCTCAGCATCAAGACCGAATTGTCTGCCACCCCCTGCCAGGGCAGAGTGGAATCATACTGTCAGGACAGCAGCTTGATTGCTGGGTGGGAGCCATTTAGTGAATGGAGAGTCCGTGCAGGTCACGCCACAATGATTGGCGAATGAAACAGACCAGCCCTTGCAAACTCAGACCCAACTTGTCAATAAGTATCCATCTCCTGCTACAATCTGCCAACAAAATGCCTGCCTCTCTCCTCCCCTCGAGAACTGGGCCCTCGGGCAGGTGAGATGGAGAAGCAGAGTTGGGTGGGCAGCCAAACAACGCAGTACCTAGAGAACCCAATGGACATGTGGAGAATCCAACAGCGCGAGCGCTGGCTGAGCAGAGTGACCACAAGGACTGCGCCTTGCATTTGATCATGTCAACAGCAAGGCAGAGTGGTATCAGGGGGCTAAGGAATTTTCCTCCAGCGTCCACGGGGCCGGCGGCTGGGCCTTTGCAATGGATCTCCTTCAGTAGCAGCATCTGAGTGGCAGTTCTGCCAGCCACAGAGCCTGCCCCACTCTGCCAATGCACTAAAAGCTTTGTCTGCAGGTGGACACACTGCATGCACCCCAGCTCTGCCAAAGCACCTCAACCCTGCCAGGCAACGACCCTGCTTTTGCAGTTCTCAGACAGGCCAAGCAGCCTGAAGTATTGGCTGGTTTAATGTGCCAGGAGATTGCCACGGTCACTCCAGCTATGACCTAAGCTGATGGGAATCCAGTGGTGAGGTCAGGGCTGACTCTCTCCAGGCCCTTAGTCTCCAAGCCTTGGCCCCCTTCCCTTCATTTCTGTTGCCCCAAGGGTCATTACCTAGTGGAATTGAGGCCCTTGCCAGGTGAGTCCCCCAGACCGTCCCCTCCCCTCCCCCCCGGCTTTGTGGTGAGCTCAGTATGCTTCTATCATAACATAGGGTCTCCTCCACTTACACCACTGACCTTAATTGTTGGGCCATCACCACCACCCAGAGAAATGAGCAGGTGCTAAGAATGCTCCGGTCTAGCGCCTTTTCCCTAGACTCTCCAAAGGCAAAGCCTGCAGCGTCATCAATGGCCTGTTTCACAACTGGGAAGTTAAACCTGGTGTCCCAATCTACCCGCAGCATGGAGAATTTACTCCATTGCCCTGCGTTCCCCAGGCCCTCGTAGTGCACTTGGCATCTATGCGCACCAGGAGTCGCTGAAGGCATTGGTTCCTGGATTGCAGCCCAAAACAGGGATATAAATTCTAGTTCCAACCCTGCCACTGACTGAGTGGATGACCTTGGGCAAATCATTTCCTCCCTCCAGGCCTTGGTTTCCACACAGTAACATGGAGCTGATCAGGCTTGCCCATCTCTGCAAATTGTCAGTGGCTGAAAGGTGCCACGATGTGCTGCATGAATCCATGGTTAGTGCTCTAATAGCTTAAACGAATTTACAGGCTGCAGCTTGTATTTCCCCAGCCTAGCTGCCTGCCATTTCCTGCCGGAAGAGCCAGTGTGCCCTGTGTACTCCCAGCAGCAGCTCCGAGGAGCGTGCAGTAAGGTGAACGGAACCGTCGTTCCGTGTCCAGTGCCTGGGCCGTGCAGGTCAGCCGTCCAGCAGACGGGCTAGTTGCAGGCTAACCTGCTGGATACCTAGCAGCTATTTGCCGAAAGGGCCAGGCAGGCTCATAGCACCTGGGAAATGGGGCTGCAAGGATGCCGCAGCCCTGACCTTGGGACCATGCTGCACACTTGGTGAACTACTCCCGCAGGCAGTGTGGGCTCAGCACTGTGGCCAAAGAGCCCCCCCCCCTTTTTCAGGGTGTCATCAAGCAGTTTTGCCTCATGGACGGAGAAATGCCTGGCAGCCAACTGGCAGGAGGTCAGTGGTAATGTAGAACCCCCCGACAAGCACTTACATTGCAGGCAAGCCAGCAGTCGACACGAAGGGCTGTGGGCACCAGGGTTTCTCCCACTCCTGGGCATTTTCACACCTCATTGAATTTTAATCCCCCCTGAAATCATTCTACAGGC